AGGTGCCCTAAAAGGGAAGATGATCAGGCCCTCTTCAGTGGAGATGCTACAATCTAAAGGACTAGCTGAAAATGAGACACATGTACATACAAAAGGAAAAGAGTAACCACATCTAAAAAGTCATGATAGTTAGAATCTTTGACAGTAAACAGATGGAAACAAGTCTTCTCTCCCAAACCAAATAAAGTGAAAGTATGTATTTCCAACACTGTTGAGTGCTCGCAAGTTCATCAATAGCTACGCTTTCCCGCAACACACTTCCGCAAGGAGTCCTTAGACACTGATTTCCTATGTAGAGCTGTGGAACTACAGAGAAGCAGCATCAGCACATCACTCGAGCTGTCTAAGGCCAATGGTGGAACAGAAAACAGAAGCGCACTCAAACCACATGACGGCTGCCCTCTGCGCCCTGCTGCTGAAGAGGAAGTAACAGCAAGTTGGACGCATGGCAGACCCGTGCTAATGATACTAAGCAAGCAACCAGAGAACCAAAATGGGAAGAAGCACTTGATAAAAGGGAATCAACGAAAATAGGAAATACAACTTAAAACATGTGCATTGTTAGAAGAGCTACTATGACATTGATGATTTATGGCCTATTGTCAGAAAGTCACTGCTCAGAATTCTAGTGAAATGCTTGTACATGAAATCTGCTGGGGGAATCACATCACTGAAGCCTACTCACATTTCATTTTCCTTCTAATTGGAAGGAGAAAAAAATGTACTCAACACATACATGCTACACACTAATTTCAAATTTATCTATCGTTCTCAAAAAAGTTCATTTTTAATGCTATATCAAGTAATCATTTATTAACTGAAAAGACAATCTGTACATTAATATAGTCATAAAAAATAAAGGTTCCTATGCTTTTGCAACCGAGTTAAGTCTCAGTGAATTTAACTTCGGTTAATTGCAAACTTTGGAGCATTTAACTTTGCATTCTTTCTCAACTCTGCTTCAAGCAACCCAACAACTTCATTCCCCATGAGTAGCAAAGTCATTGAAGAGGGAATAGTCATACAGATAAGAATGTTATTTCGTACCATTCCAAAATGAGATCTGACATCTAATAAATGAGTGCTAAACAGAAGGGAAAAAGGGGGGGGGGTAGGCACAGTGATTAATATCAGACATTATTAAGTCAACTGTGACAAACACTTAAATATTCCTAAAAGGGTAACAATGAACAAAGAAAAAGACCAGACAACCCAAAATTAGATGGCAGAACATAGCCACATATCAGTTATCATATAAAATACCCAACCTAAACTCACCAGTTAAAAGACTAAATTCTCAGGGCACCTGGATGGCTCAGTCAGTTATGTGTCTGTCTGGCTCAGCTCATGATCCTGGGGTCCTGGGATTGAGCACCACACAGGGTTCCCTGCTCGGTGGGGAACCTGCTTCTCTCTCTCCCTCCCTCTGCAGCCTCTCTTGTGCTCTCTATCAAATAAATAAAATCTTAAAAAAAAAAAAAAAAAGACTAAATTCTCAAAGTGGAATAAAAAACATATCTCCTCAAAGATGCAAGAGCATAATATCTGTAACCAAAGAAATGGAAAAAGATAGTCCAGGCAAATCCTAACCAAAATAAATCCAGTGCAATTAATATAAATGTCAAAATAAATTTTAAGGTACTATATGATGGCAGAAAGGGAAAAATTTTGTACATGTAGATAAAAGGGGAAAAAAAAAAGACCCATAACAGGATGCAAAAATATTCAGAACTGAATGGCAATGAAGAACCCTATGTTCAAAGTTTGTGTTTTCAACAAGAGATACTTGAAGGGAAAACTGAGCCAAGATTCTGTATATTGACTATTCAACTCAAGAAATTAGAAAAATAACAGGGTAATCCCAAGGAAAAAATAAAGAGCAAAGGGGAAAAAATGCTACAAAGTGGAAAAGAAAAAACAGAAACAACAAAGTCAAGTTGTTTCTTTGAAAAAAAAAAATTAAAAGGGTAACTCTATAGGAAGAATGATTCGGGGGAAGGCAAATAACACTAGACATAAAAATGGAATAAAAACTGAATATACAAGACGACAATGCTATGAAAAACCTCAGGCCAGCCAATGTATCAAATTAGAGGAAATGGACAGTTATCCCTAAAAATATGAATTACTAAAACTGACTCAAGAAAAAACAGAAACTGTCAGTATATGGAAATCAAATCAATGATTTAAAATAACAAAAACAAAACAACAACAACAACAAAAAAAACCCACTCTACTACTCTCCTCTTTACACCAGGCCAAGACAGTTTTAAAGGCAAGTTCTACCAGGTCTCCAAAGAATAAATAATCTGTCATTTATCCAAAGTTTTCCAGAGAATATTAAAAAGGAAGCAACTTTATGAGGCTTATAACCTAGGTTACAAAATCTCATAAAGTGGATAAAAGAAAGTTAAAGGTAATATATGCAAAAACCCTACATTAAAAAATACAGAATGATGGGGCGCCTGGGTGGCTCAGTGGGTTAAGGCCTCTGCCTTCGGCTCAGGTCATGATCCCAGGGTCCTGGGATCAAGCCCCGCATCAGGCTCTCTGCTTGGCGGGAAGCCGGCTTCCCTTCCTCTCTCTCTGCCTGCCCCTCCTGCCTACTTGTGATCTCTGTCAAATAAATAAATAAAAATCTTTAAAAAAAAAAAAATACAGAATGAATACCAAGTCATCACAAATAAGTAGAGACAATGTGGAAAAATTCACCTTGGTGGATACTGGCTGGAATTGAAATTGGCACAACCACTTTGGGGATCACTTTGCAGTACTGGGGAAATCTAAGGAAGTACAACTTCATTCTATCAACATTCCAATTCCACAACGTCCCAACTCCACTACAAAGTGTCCACCCTGAAGAAACTCTTGCACAGTAAACAAGGCAAGGTCTACGATTATGTTCACTGAAGCACTGATTATTATACGACAAAAAGAAATGGAGCCTCCATGGAGGAAGGGAGAAACTCGTTCAGTCATTCACAGTAAACTAGACAGCAGTTAAACAAAGTAGATTTACATGCTGTAAAAAGAAATGGACAGAGCGAGAGAGGAGAGAGGGGATGGAGACTTTAGCAAAGTTTTTAAGGTTTTAGTCCTTAAAGAAATCTGAAACACATGGCAACATGGGAACATCTGATTAAATTTTTTTTTTTAAGATTTTTATTTATTTATTTGAGAGAGAGAGACAGTGAGAGAGAGCATGAGTGAGGAGAAGGTCAGAGGGAGAAGCAGACTCCCCACGGAGCCGGGAGCCCGATGCGGGACTCGATCCCGGGACTCCAGGATCATGACCTGAGCGGAAGGCAGTCGTCCAACCAACTGAGCCACCCAGGCGTCCCTTGATTAAAATTTTTTGGTGAATTGTCAATTATTTCCTAGAGTTTTGTAGTTTTTACATACATCGTGATTTTAAAAGACAGACCACAAAAATAGATTTAAACCATAAAGGACATTGGTAAATCTTGATGTATGGTGATACAATGAGATTCAGAGATAGCAGGGACCTTCTGAATTATCTAAGGTATCTTATATTCTATAGACGAAGTCAGTTTCTGGGCCTCAGTTTGGTTTGAATAAATGACTTAAGGTCAAGTTATCATATCAAGCTGGTTCTCATATTCTAGACACCCTAACTTCTAGGATAGGTAAGAGAAACAAGGGACATGTGGTCAAATGTAACAGAGTCAAGTTCAGACCAGCTACCCTTTGTGTTCCTTACTGTCCCCTCACCCCCAGATACACAGTGTCAGGCAGTCTTCCCCACGCCCCTCCCTGTCTCTCTCAGAGCTTTAAGGATTTTTAATCCTCTTTTGCTGCTCCTGTTCTTGAAATAACTGAAATATCAGAATAATTATAACTAAAATGAGTCAAATAAAGGCAAGGGCTTAGAAGACATTCAACTTAGCACCCTCCAACCTTGTACTCTAATACACGTTTATATAATAAACTACTGTTCAACTAGATAGGTCTATTTCACCAAGCTGAATGCTTTCATTGTAAAGTATAACTTCTATTTTTAATATGGAAGAATGTAAGGAATGAGGAAAAAATAACTTTAATATGTAAATAGATGAGAAGACCCTCAAAAAAGATTATTTAGAGACCTTATTTTCAATGAACAAAAGAGGTCCCACGCGTAGCAAATGGAACAGGCTAGTTTGGTGGTCAGGTCCATGACGTCTGGAGTCACACTGCCAGGTCTGGAATTCGGATTCACCCACAAACTAGCTGGGAAACTCCAGACACGTTACGATAACTCTCTAAGCCTTACATCTGCCCACCGTAACAATGAAAATAACCACAACAATACCTACTAATACCTACCTCACAGAGAGTCTCACAAGTGTGATGTGAACTCATCCAACGGAAGCAGCTGACACAGTTCTTCAGTGAACATCAACTACTAGCATACATTCTTGTAAATAAAGCAACTTAGCTATGAAAAGCAACAAGCTCTTCTGACTGACAAAATTATAAGGTATGAGACGATTTAAAAAATTATATTGGTTTTGGTCACATCCAAGCTAATGAGTTACACGCCTTGTAAATCAAGAGTGTTTTTTAATTAAATGACACTAAATAATTGAGCTTGATTTTAAGTCTGTATATGACTTGGAAATAAAAAGAAAAAAAAATAACAGATAGTGTTAAAGTGAAATTAGCATGGCTCTTGAAATAATCAACATAGCACTACTGGTTTTCCTCAAGCGAATCCCTTACGGACAAGGTAATAGTCCAACCATATAATGTCCATTCAGAACAAACACCTGCCAACCCACATGACCCGAGCAAACTAGCCGAACCCTGGTCCTGACTCCCGCCCTACCAGAAGGGTCAGGAAATATTGTCTGTAATAGAAATGACCCTCTTCTAGGTTTTCTTGTTTTTTGAAGCAAAACTGACAGGCCAGCTTATAGGAACACAGCAAGGTACACACTATGCCCCCGCACCAGTGAGGGCAGCCCGTACTTCCGCTCTCCGGCGGGGCCCTGTCTCACCTCCAGGTCACAGCTGTACTCGGTGCCGTCCAGGAGGATCACTTTGCACTGGACTGTTTTGGTCTTCTTGCTGGCTTTCTGGGAGGCCTTCTCTGCTTTTAGCTCATTGGTCTGCACTTCCTTGGTCTCCCTCTTTGCTGCTTCTTCTGACTTGTCTTCCTGCATTTCCTTTACCTTCTCCTCTCTCTCCTTCCTTACCTCTTCAGCAGGCTGTTAACGGAAAAAAGGAAGTTCAAACTAAAGTTAGCCAATCTGCAGAAGACCCAAGTATTCAAAGGAAAATCTTCGGTAAGAATCGTGATTGTCAAACACCGTCAGCCTCAGATTTTTAAAGACCTCAAGATTTTGCCGGAAAGGGTATTTCCCTGTATCGCCCTTCTCACAATCCACCACCCATTTTCTCATTTTACTGATTTGGTAATTTCACCATTAAATAAGTAAAAGAAACTACGTCCTGGCCACTAAAATTTAAATATTTCAAATATAAAATATAATTTCGCATCATGGCAAAACCTAGGCTTCATTAAGCAACCAAAATGCTCACATGTACAAATCTATTTCTTCCTACTCACTGAACACTTACATACATCAAATCAAAGATATTAAAATCTATACTACTTAAAAAGGAGAGGTGGTAGAATTCGGAGAGTATCCATTTAACCTTAAAAGGAAGAGTCATGAATTGATTTTTATGGTTTGCATAAATAGTCAATTTTTTGGTCTTATTATCTTGGCCAGGTTTAAAGAAGTAATGAGAAGGCCGTGGCAGACACTGTAAGCCACAGTAGTGTCTGAATATAAGAAATCTGGATAGGATTCCAAAGAAAAAACTCCTTTTTGGTAAGTGGTTAAAACACCAAGTTTTTGGGGTGCCTGGGTAGCTCAGTGGGTTAAAGCCTCTCTGCCTTCGACTCGGGTCATGATCCCAGAGTCCTGGGATCGAGCCCCGCATCGGGCTCTCTGCTCAGCGGGGAGCCTGCTTCCTCGTCTCTCTGCCTGCCTCTCGGCCTACTTGTGATCTCTGTCTGTGAAATAAATGAATAAAATCTTTAAAAAAAAAAACAAAACACCAAGCTTTCACTTCCAGACGATTTGTTCTCAAACATACCTGTGCCTCAGCACGGCTCACAGAGGGCTTCTCTTCCTTGACATCAACTTTCACCTCCTGCTGCTTTCTCTGAGAGGTCTCTTCAACATCGCTCTTGGCCTGCCTTTCTCCTTCAGGAAGCGATTCCTCTTGGTCTAAAACCTCCTCCACGGCAGCTTGGGCAGGCTCTTTTTTATCTCCTCCGTCTTTAGCCGCTACTAAGGTATAGGACTTCTGTTTCTTAAGCCATGGGGGTATGAATCGAGAAATGCCCCTGCTCTCAGACGGATCCCTCTCTTTCTTCTGGCGGCGTGGACTACTTTGGCTTTCAGCTATAGGAGAAGACTGGGAACGTTTTTCCTCCTCTGGATCAGAGGACTGATTCTGCTGATTTTCTGCTACTTCTTTAGGTTTTTCCTTGGTGGCATCTGCTCCTAATGGCTCAGATTCCTTCTTCACCTCAGATGTGGAGCCTACTTCAGTGGTCATGGTTACAGCATATGCTGTAAACAAAACAAAACAAACAAAAAAATATCACAAAATGTTATCGTACAAACTCACAGATTTAGTTTAGAGGTAAGGAACGGTGGGGAGGAAGGGTAGGAAAGGAAATGGCAGAGAGAGAGGGGGGCAGAAAACGTGTAGAGAAGGAAAGCTCATAAGCACAAATCAAAATGGAGATTGCTACTCTTAGAATTCTCCATCAGAATCAAGAACCAGAAGTTGCATCACAATAGAACTAACTGATTCTGTACTGGTAGGGCTTAAAACCGTTAACAGCTTAGAGTGATTACTTTTATTAAGTTTCATCTAGCCATAAGTAATTTTCCCCGCACAACTCCCATTTTTTAAAGGAAAGTTACTTTTCTCTCTACTTAGTATCCCTTGTTCTATAATACAAAAATTTATTGATAATGTTAGAAAGTATGGAAACAAATTTCACTGTAATTTCACATAGTGAAATCAAAATCTACAAAAATGTGAGGTGTCATGCTTGCTTCAGCAGCATATATACAAGAATGTGAGGTATAAAAAAAATCAGGTATTATAAAGATGAAGCCTAAATGTAGAGTGCTTAATGTGAAAAAATTAGATCTGGGGGAAAAAAGGTATTTTTCCCCCCAATTTAAATCCCACAATATACCAACATTATTTCAGTGCAGCAGTCTTCTGAGAATACTGAGACTACGATCAAAAATCTAACCCTCCATCCCACTCAACCTCAAACACGGTTTTCCTTGTAGCTGAGATTTTAAGATAAGTATCTCAGGGCCCCTAATTGGAACCAAATGAAGACATTATAGCAGTGGGGAGAAGTGCATCTAATAATTGGTCCTATCACAACTAATGAAAAAAAAAACTGAAATTAAATCTGAAAGTAGGGCACCTGGGTGGCTCAGTTGGTTAAGCAGCCAACTCTCAGGTCATAATCTCACTTCGTGGGATTGAGCCCCACAGTGGGCTCTGTGCTCAGCAGGGAGTCTGCTTGAGACTCTTTCTCTGGGCCCCCCGCCCCGGTCACACTCTAAAATGAATCTATAAAAAATAAATCTGAAAGTAAATGGTTGTCTCAATTTCACATAAGCAAAGAGGTACTATTTAAAGTATAGCTCCCCCACTGACATTTAAAAAAAAAAATAGGAATAGCAGAGATAGTACACTCTCTCCTCTCTTGACAATGATAAAAGGTCAGGCACCCTAGCCAGCAGCAAACCTAGCCAAACCACCATGAGATGCCACTTCATATACACTAAAGGATGGCTATCATCAAACAGACAGTAACAAGTACTGGTGAGGATGGGGAAAATGTAGAGCAGGAATGTGAGATGATGCAGCTCCTTTGGAAAAGTTTCTCAAATAGTAAGTTAGCATAGGACTTAGCAATTCCACTCCTAGGTATATACCCAAGAGAAATGAAAACATATGTTCCCAGGAAAACTTGTCGTCAAATGTTCCTAACAGTCTTATTCATACTACTCAAGAAATAGAAACAACCCAAATTCCTACCAACTAATGGAGGGATAAACAAAATGGGTGTGTCCATACAATATTATTACATCATAAATAGGACTGAAGTACAATATATGTTGCCATAAACAACACTTGAAAACATTATTCTAAGTGAAAAAATTCAAAAGGTCTTGGATGCATGCATGGGTGGCTCAGTTGGTTAAGTGTCTGCCTTCGGCTCAGGTCATGATCCCAGGGTTCTGGGATTGAATCCTGCATTGTGCTCCTTGCTCAGCAGGGAGCCTGCTTCTCCCTGGGCCTGCCACTCCCCCTTCTTGTGTGCACGCGCGCGCTCTCTCTCTCTCTCTCTCTCTGAAAAATAAATAAAACCTTTAAAAAATATAAGCAAATCCATAAAGACAAAGTAGATTAGTGGTTGCAAAGGGCTGGAGGATGGAGAGAATAATGAGCAACCACGAATAGATATAGGGTTTCCTTGGGGGGTGATGAAAATGTTCTGGAATTACACAGTGGTAATGGTTGTACAACCCTGTGAATATACTGAAAATCACTGAATTGTAAACTTTAAAAGAATGAGAATTCAATAACTAAAAATAATTTTTTAAAATGTTATTCATAGGGTGCCTGGGTGTCTCAGTGGGTTAAGCATCTAACTTGATTTAGGCTCAGGTCGTGATTTCAGGATCCTGAGATGGGACCCCATCAGGCTCTGCACCCAGCAGGGAGTTTGCCTGTCCTTCTCCCTCTTCTCCTTCCCCTACTCATGCTTGCACTCTCTCTCAAATAAAATCTTTTAAAAAAATGTTATTCACCTCTAATATGTGAAGATGAAAACATTCAGTCAGCCTGCCTATATTCAATGGGCCCCTACAGTGTGCCAGGTACAGGGCCCATGAATAAAGGACTGCCTTTGAGAAGGTGAAGGTAGGGGAGAAGGTGGTGTACAGGTGAGTCAAGAGCACATTGCTTAAAAAAAGGCACAAGACAGATACTTCACCCAGATTCAGAGAAGAGGGTCATTAGGTAAGCCTTTCTGCAAAAGTGGACATCTGAGTTACTTTAAAACTGAGCCTTCATTCAGGCAAGGGAGTCAGTTGGGAGGCATGTAGAAACATAAGAAAATTCCTCTTACAGGAAACCACAACTACTGTTGTGAAGTGGGAGCTTGCTACAGGGATAGGGAAGAAGGGGAGAGGTGAATTGGCAATGACAAAGTAGAAGAATAGAATCCAGGACATAAAAGGTTGTGTGTATCACACTAAGAAAGCACTTGAGGTTGATTTAAAAACAGTAAAAAGTCACATAAGCATTTTACAGAGACAGGAGTAATGTAATCAGACCCACATTTTGGATAGCCCAGGCTGGCAGGAAAATACAGGATGAGAGAAGAGACTGAAAGAGAACAATAATCCACACACGAGAAGATGAGGGTCTGCATTTGGGCAGCAGTAGCGAGATGAAGGAGAAGAAATGCATCCAATGGCAAAGAGGTTGACAGCACAACACGGTGACCACAATGAATGTAGCAAGTCAAGAGAGGGAAAGGGTCGAGGGAAAGTCTCGGGTCATGGGAGACTGGGGTGATGGTGGAACCACCCACTGGAATGAGGAACAAGGAAAGAGGGTCTGACTGAGACAAATCCGGTTTTGAATTCACTGTGATTGACCAGTCTCTCGAGCTGACCACATGGCACACAGATCTTGAACAGAGACCAGATATGTGCGAGAGAAGCAGATTTGGGAGATGTCTTCATGTGGGGGACAGCTAAAAGCACCAGTGATACCAACGCCACCTAGAGAAGAAGTGTATTTGAGTTTAGAGGGTCCTGAGCAGAACTTTATCCCCACCCAACATTTCCGGGTCAGGTAGAAGAAAAGGCATGAGGGAGAGGAGAAATACACAGTGAGACCAGGAGCTGAGAGGAACTAATGTCCTTGAGGGCAACGCTACCAAGGAGGAATAGGTAACGAGAACATTTACAGTCCAATCTTACTTCTCGTTTTTAGGCATTTATTTTTAATTCTATCTGTGTTTGAATATTTGCGCATATCTGTTCACTATCTCTATAAAGTATAAAAGTATTAAGTGTAGGTCTGTTAGTAACAGCCTAACTTCTATTGTGTTGACCTCAGATCACCAAATGTAAACACTGTATTTTGTCAAACTGGGAAGTAAACCGCACAAATAAAGCCAGGTGGGCTACATAGGTTCTGGCCTGTTATATTGTGGAAAAATCAATCATCAATATTCCTGAAGATCAAAAACTGGTGATATTAAGCAAAATTAAGCTATATGTTTTACGTAGTTTTTGTGGAAAATACTAGTTCAATATAAACTAAAATGTGAATATTAAGGCATCACCTTCATTTAGGAAGACAAGAGGCATGATTCGTTAAGTCATTGTAAAGCTAATGTCATCGTTACTGAGTTTTCTTCTCCAAAGATTTGAAATGAAAGCTCAGATAAATAGAATGAAGTTACTATTCATAAGCCTAAGTTGTTTTTTACCTTCAATTTCTTTAAAATTAATTAATTTTAATAAGAGAATCAGTTGTTCTCTTTATTAGCTTGATTTTGTTGTTGTTTAAATTCCACATAAAGGAGAGTTCTTAAGCGGTCTTTCTCTGACATTTCACTCACCATAATGTTCTTTGGGTCCATCCATGTCACTGTAAATGGCAAGATTCCATTCTTGTTTATGAATAGTCGTGTGTGTGTGTGTGTGTGTGTGTCACAATTTCTTTATCCATTCTCCCATCAATGGAATCTTAGGTTGTTTCCACATGTTGGCTATTGTAAATAATGCTACAGTGAATATGGGTTCATGTACCTTTTTGAGTTAGTGTGCTTTCGTTTTCTTCTAATAATCCAGAAAAGGAATTGCTGAATCACATGGTAGTTAATTTTTCTTTTTTTTAATTTTCTGAGGGACATCCACACTGTTTTCTCTAGTGGGTGTATCACTATTAGGTATTTAAGATGCAAAACCATGACTTCCAGTAAGATCTTTACATGAGTTCTTGAACTGGCCCCATATTGCACAGAAGGTCTTTTTCCTCCTTTAAAGTACCATTTTCCATGTACCACTTAAGTGGAGATTATTTACATTAATCACAAAATGACCAAAGTTGATTTTTAGTATATACTCTCTAACTACATTTTAAGAGTTGAACCAATGCCCTGATAGAATTTAAAATAAAAATGTCCCACCCTTGTCCAAGCTAATCAAGATAATTGGTAGCTCTGTAATTCCTTTGGCTATGAGAAATAATCTGGAGACCAATCAAGTAAAGTTGATTTTTGATCAAAATATTTTAAATAAATATATTTAATGAAATGAAATATAAAATTAACGTTTTCACTATATGTTAGAAGCATTAAAATTTATTATATTTTAATAAGAGCTATCACTTACTGGGTCAGACATCATACACATAATTTCTGCTCTTCAAAACATCCTACAGAAGAGGTATTATCCCCATGCTGTATGTAATAAAAAGTTAAGTGACTTGTCCAAGGCCACTGAATGGA